ACAGCATGTAAATCGAGACAACGAGATTTAACGTGGTTCCACTATCGAGGTGATAGTGTACGTCCACAGGGGGAGAGAGATCGATTTATTACTAACCGGAAGAACTTACAACGTATGGTATATTTAATGCTATGCATGCATCCATATTTATAGCTAAAAATTGTAGCCACATTTTTCTTCATGTTGGCAAGATGGCATGTTGATGATGCATGTTGATGATGATGAAGTAGGTTGCCAGTAGTAGATTCACTAGATGGGCGGCAAACCTATGCCATGCAAGTTGGCAATTTGAGACTTCAATTGATGATGTCATTGTTGCTGCCAAACATGTGCCTTAAGTTTAATTATCATGCTTCCATCACTTGTACCATGTTGTGTTTACACAGCATCCTAAAAACTTACCAAATTAAGTTTTTCAACATATATCTCTATGCATAAATACACATATTCACGTATTCAATCCATGTAAACATGTATTCATTTTGACAATTAATTCACATAATAAATACATTGGGTGATTATCAGGACCCGGTTATTACAGGTTGCTTAGCGGTTTTACTTGAAACTAAGGGAGCTTAATAATAAAAGAACAAAAAAACCCGTTTTCAGATATCTCACATACAATGTTATGTAACTCTTTCAAAATATTTCCATGTAATTCACGCGGCTATTTTAGTCAGGTGAAAAGATGGAGATATTTATTGCCTTCAGCTTATGAGCCATGTCTATTTGTTTCATAACCTGCACTCTTATTCATTTAATTTGAGCTTCCCCATCTTCAAGTTAAGATACAAATTACAACACCTATTTGTCTTTAGTTTCAATAAAACCACTTAGAAATGGGAAGCCTCGTTTCTCCAACCACTACAATCTCTTTTTCTTTCTAAATTAAAACAGATTAAAAAAAAGATAATTAATATATGGATCATTTACATATGGTGTTCCACCTTATCAAAAATGAATAATTTATACTATTAGCTAATCCACAAGCCATAATCTATAATGGGTTTGATCTTAATTTATTCTCCCACCAAATTGAATTAAAGGGTTTTAGAAGGTTTTTTTATTCAAGTCAAACCCAATGAATTCCAATTTCAGCAAACCTTAAGTAATATAATTTAAGAACTAGTGATGGATCCACACTAGAGCCACATGAAGTGGTGTCTTACTTTATTAGTAAGCCTCTTATATATTCCAAGAAGCCCTGGCTAGCATTTTTAATATTGATTAGGGCCATAAATAGCCAGGATGGAAACGCATCATATTAATTTTCATTTAATAGTAGAACACGTATGAATAATATAAAAAAGTTTACAATTTTTTTAATATATATATATATATATATATATGAGCGTTCAAATACAAATCGTCTCGATTTATTTAAACCATACAACTAATAACAATCAATCACATAAATCCATTTGTTTTTTTATATTTTTAATTTATAAGGGCATTATCGTCTTTTGAGATTACAATAGTTATGTTTGGTAAGTATTTAATACTAATATATAAGTTTTGTAATTCTTTAATTTCATATAAATATAGAGATTATATCTTGATTAGCTGCACCTTTTTAGTAAATATTTAATTGATTTATCCATTATTTATGTTGATACAAATTGTCATCTTTGAAATATGTACAATAATTGTTAATTAAAAAATATTTTTATGTTTAATATTTATTAAAATATTCCTTTTTATAGTTTCTAGGTAACTCTATTTTATCATTAGCAGTTTTATTATGTTTTATCATTAACATATTCATTATTAACAGTTTCATTCAGTTTCATTTTATCCAATGACACAGTTTCATTTTGTTTCATTATTAACAGTTTCATTCTTTTTCATCATTAAGAGTTTCATTATGTTTTATCATTAACATATTCATCATTAGCTGTTTCATCCAATGCCACAGTTTCCTTTTGTCTAATGCCATAGTTTTATTTTGTTTCATCATTAACAATTTCATTTTGTTTCATCATTAACATATTCATCATTAACAGTTTCATTCTGTTATATTATTAACATATTCATCATTACCAGTTTCATTCTGTTCAATGCCACAGTTTCATTTTGTTTCATCTTTAACACTTTCATTATTAAGATTTTTAAATAGCCTATTGTCCCATTATTAATAGTTTCATAGTGTGCAATGGAACATGTTCACGAGATTGAATGCGGGAAAGAGGATTTCAATGGTCGCAACAGTTTACAATTTGTTTCCGTTTTGCCCTTTCTTGTTGAAAATAATAATAATTTACTTTCTTTTATTTTTTACTTTAATAACTTCTTTTTAATCGTGGCTTTTAATCATGAAAACAAATATATGTAATTGTTTTATAAGGTTTGTATAAAAAGCATGGTTTGCAAAAGTAAACCTATATAGTAAAAGAAGAACCAAAAGATTTTGAGGTGACACTATAAGAATTGAGTATTTTTAAATGGTCGATTGTGGTTGACTGTAAGTTATCCCATTACTCCCATATTGGCGAGAAGCTGAAAGATTGGAATAATAAAGTGTGTATAAGAAATGAGGATGAAATATCTTTGTGTCAACTCATGAGATTGTCTTGTTTTATACGACCCTCTTCCTATAAAAAATCATATAATATAAAAGTCAATTGGAAAATAAATCATCAAAAAATGATGATTTATTTATTCAATGTTTTGTCAAAATCTCAAATGTGAACACGGATATCAATATTCTTTATTGGTCGTTTGAAATGTAACCAAATACATATTATCCAATAAATCATTATCATAAGCTGATAATTAGGTGCATATTCATTCATATGTAAATACGTAAATTCTAATATAGATTCACATGTGAATCTTAACCATAACTTGTATTGTAAGACCTGAGTTTTAAAAACACATTCTCGTTAACTTACCCGAATTGTACCGTTTTTAAATAACGGTCGTTAATTGTTAAAGGGTTAAAACCGTCAAATTACAAAACTTATTATAATTATAATATTATATAATATATATATATATATATATATATGAGAGTCAAAATAAAAACCATATGCATCGTCTTCTTCTCTTCACCGCCATTCTCTCTCATTTTCTCTCTCTAAAAATTCTCGTCTTCTCCTTAAATTTTACATTAAATCGTTGAAGCAATCAAAGTAACGATTATATATTCGGGATCCACTCTTCGAACCCTTCATAAAGGTATAAATTTCATTCACTTTTATTAGGGTGTTTACGTTAGCATTTTTTTAGACCGGTTTATAAATGATGTTATGTCTAAGTTTACGGATTGATATTGTTATAAGTATGATATATTTCATGTTTAGAATGCTAGGATTGATAAAATTGATGTAGAAATTAAAAGGGTAGATTATGATTGCATTATGGTTAGATTTGGTGTATATGTTTAATGGTACGCCAATTGTTCGAATATAATGTCGAAAAGAGTAAAATTACAGGATTAAGCTTAGGTTAGCAATCATTGGAGTTATTTTGTTGTTTAGTATGTTGAATTATGTTAATATCACGTAAATGTAGCGAATCATGGAAATTGGATTATAAAAATTAGTCGGGAATTGCGGAATCGGATTTTACTGACTATGCAGGTCCATACTTTGACAGTGTATAACTTACAAACTGTAAGTTGAAATAAGCTCATATTTTGCAGTTAGAAAGCCCTTAATGTATACTACAACTTTCATGTAGGGTCGAAAATCTAGTTATTAATCTAAGTGGCCCAAAACAGTGTGTTTCCGGGGCTGTTTGCAATGTATTTAGGATTGATCTGCTGTTTTGTAATATTCGTATAAAATAGATGGATAATCCAAATAAGGTGATTTGAAAACCAGTAGTTTCATCACATATCATACTACATCTTTCAAGTGGGGTAAAAATGCTCCCGAAAATGAGGGTCAAAAGCTGTTAAAGTCGAATCGGAATTATATAAAGCTAAGTGTTGCGTCGATTTCGTAATACATATTCGGTTGTCGTATTTGAAGTTTAAGTTGTTTATAAACATGTAGGACCTATGTAATTTATTAGTAGAACTAAGATATGATTTTATGTCGTTTAAGTAATAACCGATTTGCGCATTCGTTAGGCATGCGAACAAGTCGAACTTTATCGTGAATCCCGCTTTGATCGTGCTTTACTTCTCTATTCCACTTAAGGTACGGATTTCACTTTCTTTGACTCTTGGGCAACTAGTTGTTGTAGTTGACCCTTCGTAACGGTGGTTCACAACTTTGTGATTGATCGCTTAAAAGTGGTCAATAAATTACGTACTTATATATATATATATAAACTCTTGAATCTTTATCGTGAACACTTGATTTTAGTTCGTTGAATTATATGTTTGAATCTTTTAAGTTTGTTAAATTGATTCTCATATTTTGAAGTAGTTTCAAGTTTTGTGAAGTACTTTGAATGTTGACTTTTTATGAACGTCATCTGGGTAGTGGCACATGTTTAGTTTTATTGGTTTTCGGAACAACCAATTAGTGGGCACATTATTTGGGATGCCTTCTATGGCGGCTTTGTAGTCATGGCGTCCTGCAGGTGAACTCGGTCCACAAGGTTAGGCCCAATAGTGGCTTACGTGAACCCACCTTGTGGACTTGGCCGATTTTATTGGCTACAGGGCGGATGGATCGATCCTAGGATTACCCACCATGTGACCGTGGTTAAATTCACGGGGGTAGATGTATAATATTCTAAGCTTATAAATAGTTGTTAGAATGTAATATTTTGGATTGTAAAGCATGTTTTAGAAGTTAATCTACGTTTGGAGTTTATTAGTAACTCTGCAATGTTTGTGTCTTTGAATTGAGTCCCGTTAGTGACTCCGCCCGTTCCGGACCACGGTGACGGGGGATGTTACAAATGTGGTATCAGAGCATAGGTTTTGACTTGTAGATAAAGTAAGCTTGACCTGTGAGAAATGGGTAGACATAAGAACGGGTATACTAGATTCTAATTCTATCTACTGTTTTTCTGATCCATAACTGTTTTGAACTCTGATTTTCATGTCGTTTTATTTTATATTGTCGAGACGTGGTCGCCCGCGCAAATCCAGATCTCAAGTTGAGGGTAACTCAAATCCTAACCCCAATCCAATGGATGGTGAAAGTGAACCCAATATTGTTGATGTGGTCCGTCAGACCATGTCAAGTATCATGCCTACATATCTGCAGCAAGCTATTCAGGCTATGCAACAAGCAGCGCAAAATCTTCCTTCAAACCCAAATCCTGTTCCTACACCAAATACTGGAATTCCTGCATCCAGTTCGGGTAACCCAATGGGTGAAATATATATATGGCTTGAAAGGTTTAACAAACAAAAACCTCAGTCTTTCTCAATTTCCATAGATTCTGTGGATGCCGAACATTGGATTCGACACATAGAAAAAAATTTCAATGTCTTAGAGGTTCCAGATCAGTATCGGGTCCGTTTGGCTACTTATATGTTTGAGAAAGAAGCCAATAACTGGTGGGAATCTTGTATCCAAACTGATCCATCTGTTAAAGACTTGTCTTGGAATAATTTCAAAGAATTTTTCTTCAAGCAATACTTTACCTCGGCTGATCGCGATGCTTATGTGCGGGAATATGCTACTATCCAACAAGGCGAGGAAGAAACAATTACTGACTACATGGTGCGGTTTCTTAAATTTTCTCGTTTTGCAGGAAATACTGCAGGCACTCAAGTCCAACAAGCTGACAAATTTAAATGGACTTTGAACTCGAGGTATAAAGATCGTCTCTTGAATCATCCTTTTAATACCGTTACTGAAGTGGCCGACGCTGCAAAKAATATTGATCGGTCACGACAACAATGGTTAACTTCACGCGTTGAAAATAAGAAACGCAGATCTGAATCTTTCTACCGAAGCAACCCTCATTTTGTAAAATCAAAGTTGAGTAACGATACTAAAAAAAGCTCGAGTCTATTCATGCCACGACTTCCATTGTTATCTAGTAGTGGGAGTCAAAATGTTTCTAGCCCTATTATTAGTTGTGATCGATGCAATCTAAAACATCGACTGGGTCCGTGTTTAAGGATGACCGGTTCCTGTTTCAATTGTCGAAAACAAGGTCACATGCCAAAAGATTGTCCCAAAGCTCAGATCCAAACTGACAAAGGGAAAGGTAAACATCCAAGTATTAGTGGACGAGTCTTTGCATTACCTGGCAGCAAATCTCAACCGGGTATGATTTCGGGTCATGTTAAATTAATTGATTTATCTGTTTATGTTTTGTTTGATACTGGTGCGACACACTCAATTGTTTCTGAACAATTAAAATCCCGATTAAAACCATACGAGCAAACCACCGATTTTCCAGTGGTAATATCTACTCCAATGGGTGGTTCAATYTGTGTSCTAACTCRTTTTTCCAACTGTCCGTTGCTTATTGGGGACTGCATACGAGAGGTCACTTTGCTTCCAATGCATATGTCCTACTTCGATTTAATATTGGGTATGGACTGGTTGTCATGCCACCGGGCAACAATAGGCTGTAATGCTAAACAAATTCTATTTGGGGATATAGACAACCCAGAGGCAATATTCCAAGGACGTACTCCAAAAGAAGATGTTAGTGCAGTAGTCTCTATTACTGTGAAGCAATATACATGGCAAAACAATGAAAGTTTTCTTGCTGCTCTACAAGATCC